TATGCATCAAAATAATATAACCTAATATAACCTACCGTAGAAATTGCCATTGTCACTTTCTTTTGTTTAGAAGTTGCAAGTTTTTTTCTCTCTTCCAGGTTAATATCTTCTTTTTCATGATTTGCCAATACTTCTATAGAATTTCATTCGTTTCTTTTTCAAGTTGCTTATTAAAAAAAAATTATCATATTAATGAAAAATTTATATATTTGTTAATTTATTTTACCGGAAAGGCATTAACAGAATCGTTGTATTGATTTTCGAGATCTTTGTTATTTTGTTTTATCCGAACATGCTTTTCTTCTTCTTTTTAGAATTTATTCTAAGAATTCATAAATAAAATTAATCGTCATATTCAGTTAGCTTTTATCTGAATAAGTTATTAATCTAATGACTTACAGCTTCATTTTTCTAGGCCTTTATGATTAATAAGATTAGAATCATAATTGTTATTTAATATGAATACAACCGCGATTGATTAATATGTTACCTCTAAACTTTGTTTATCCATTTCAACTATATTAACGCGATTTAATTTCTCTGAACGTTCTTCATCCAATAATTCAAGGTTTTCATTAGCTTCTTCAAGTGGGATTTTATATTTAGAAGTTCCGATAATGTCTTCAAGAAACTCTAAGAGTCCATCTTCATGCTTATTTGCTGCTTTGGATTTCATCTGAGATATTGATTCAATTTCTCCCTAATCATTAATTTAAGCATAAAATTTTTTGATGATGTTAATATATTACCTCTGACGAAAAATAAAAAAATTTTTTTTTTTAAAAAAAAAAAATAAATAAAAAAGGCACCTGCAAAATTAGAAACCGTTTATTATCCCCTTTTCTTTCAAAGACTTGTAACTTGATGAAATACTTGCAGTATTGCGAAAAGCTTGACGCGAGAAAATTAAGGTACAACTTCATAACGATAATCAACCGAACCAGTTATTAATTTAATCTTTTTTTTTTATATCTTGGAAATTAAAACTTAATCTTTTTTGTTTCTTTTACCGATTCAATTATTTCTTTAAAATGTATATATCAACATTATAAATTT